TGTTCAGTGTGTGTGAGGGATGAAGAACATAGAAGTGAACCCTAAAGAGGGAATCAGGTGGTTGGTGGCAGAATTTGAGGAGGAGGAGAGTGAGTAAAATTCCTCCTTTAGCATGGAAGGACTTGTGGAGAAAGCTATGGAGAACGACTAGCTAAGGATATCTGGTTAGATATGAATAGGATATTTTCTCTATTTGAACAATTTGAGAACTTTCTCATGTAAGCAAGTTTCTTTGACAATGCTTTTTCAATATAAGCTGACTCAAAAGGGATCAGTTCTGTTTTTTCATAATTCATAGCTCTAGCAATGTCTAGAATCCAGCAATAATTTTTGTATTGCTTTAATTAAATATCACTTCTTAAACCAAACTTCTAAGGAAATAGGTCTATGTGTATGTATTAAGAGAACCATTAAACTGCTAAAGTGATTCTACTCCTGGAGTTGAAGAGCTGGGAAATCCAATCTTTGGGAAAAGAGGTAAAGTTATGGAGAGCCCTTATGAGGAAGAGGGCCCAAATCTTTACTGTACAGTTCTAAAGTGCAGTGGCAACAGTAATCTAAGGGAGAATGGCTTATTCAGCCCTTCTGTAATCTAGTATCATTAACATAGTCCATCTCTCCCTTGTCACATTGCTCATGTGAGCAGCAATGAATCCAAAGAGGAGATGTTGATGCTTATATGTAGGCTTTACATGTGAGTAAGAACCCTGGAAAATCTGGGCTCTTGCTCACTTGTAGATCCAACTCATGAGCCAGAATCTTTCCTTTTCAGACTTGTTGAAGCAAAGTGACAAGGGAGTGACTGGGACTAGCCACTCTTATCTAATCATGCTAAGGATCCTTCATTCGAGAATCCCCAAACAGGTTTTGTATATTGGGGAAATTAAGCACATCTCTAAGAAATCAAAAGAGATATGATGAGGGTTTATTGCAGACTCCCAACTTTTGTTGTCAAATAAGAGACTGGGGATTTCATAGCCTCCCTGAAGTCCATTGGACCCACTTATCAGTACATTGGGTTCCATTTATGCAGCTGCCTCAAAGCATTAGATAGCGAGCTAAGACTATCCCTTGAGCAGTTAAAATCCAATCCAAACCAAACCATGATTATCCATGATCAACAGCATCATTTCAAACTTTGGCTGCCTTCCTCCCCTCTTCCTCCTCCTCCTCCTCCTCTTCCTTCCTTCCTTCCTTCCTTCCTTCCTTCCTTCCTTCCTTCCTTCCTTCCTTCCTTCCTTCCTTCCTTCCTTCCTTCCTTCCTTCCTTCCTTCCTTCCTTCCTTCCTTCCTTCCTTCCTTCCTTCCTTCCTTCCTTCCTTCCTTCCTTCCTTCCTTCCTTCCTTCCTTCCTTCCTTCCTTCCTTCCTTCCTTCCTTCCTTCCTTCCTTCCTTCCTTCCTTCCTTCCTTCCTTCCTTCCTTCCTTCCTTCCTTCCTTCCTTCCTTCCTTCCTTCCTTCCTTCCTTCCTTCCTTCCTTCCTTCCTTCCTTCCTTCCTTCCTTCCTTCCTTCCTTCCTTCCTTCCTTCCTTCCTTCCTTCCTTCCTTCCTTCCTTCCTTCCTTCCTTCCTTCCTTCCTTCCTTCCTTCCTTCCTTCCTTCCTTCCTTCCTTCCTTCCTTCCTTCCTTCCTTCCTTCCTTCCTTCCTTCCTTCCTTCCTTCCTTCCTTCCTTCCTTTTTGACAGCAGTCAGGAAATCATTGCATGGATTTTCACCTCAGAAAGTTTATTTTTATTTTTTTATGTTCTTATGAAAGGCAAATTCACTTCATGCAGCTGCAGGCTGTTGTTCAGCAAAACCAGTAAGACGTACAATCACAGCACTTTATCTTCAGTTGTTTTCATGCTGTCTAACATGAAAGGAACAACTCACCACTCCAAAACACTTTCGTTAGTGCACTAAGCAACCAGTTTAGTCTTTCCAGAGATAATACGACTTTACAGCACAACAACATACAATATTATAAATATAAATAGAAAGTGGTCCATACCATGAGTTTGTCTAGAATGTATAAAAATTTATACTCATCGAAAAATGTATGTTTTCAAGGCAATACTACCACAGGTATCAGAATACTTACAGCAAGCCTGGAATCGTTTCAACAAATGCCATGCTTCAAATATGGAAATAAATATCATAAACTAGGAATACATTTTACATTTGATTTCATTAGCTGAGCAAAATCAAGAAGTCGTGGTTCTTTCATACTTGGGAACTATCATTGCCTACCCAAGGCATGGTGCTGCATATATAACTATTAATCCTACTTCCATGTATATGCAAAGCGCATTCAGACAAAATATTCACTGTGAAAAACTAATATGACAACATCATCTCATGCAATTTATCGCTTTCAAAATAACACATTATATTTCACTATTTTAAAAAAACATCTATCATTTATATATATATACTGGTTGTTCACACGTATGTTCCTAAAATGGTGAGATTTGAATAATTTAGGACATCCAGACCTGTCTGTTTTCATACAATCAGGTCTCTAGTCTTTCAACACTTGGTTGCGAGACTATTGGCTGTGTATGCAGTTCAGGGAGATGACAGAAAAGATTTTATTATTTTTGGGCCCACAAGGAGAAATTTAAAAAACTCCACACATAAACTGACAGCAGGTTAAAAACAAGAACATATCAGAAATAAAGACCAGCAAACTCTCTCCTGTGCTAGGGATGATGACTAGTTCTTACTTTTTAGTATCTAAGGAATCATCCACAAATCCTATTTCCTCTCTTAAGTGATACTGATTCTACAGACTCAGGACTTCACAGCATCAATTCCCCCTTCCTCTCATTCTGCTGCACATATATAAAAAAGGACCGAGATGCATTTTCTTTTTAGATAAGAGCTAAGACACCAAAGCATAGCCAAACGTTTTCACACAACAAGAATCCTTCTATCATTCCAATGAGAAAGGCATGATTTTATTTGTTTTTGTTTTTTATGATGATGACAACACTGGCAATAAAATGTTGCCATATACAGACTGATATGGAAACTTCAACAGGTCCAGAATAGGGCTTCAGATTAGTAAAGGGAATAAATTTCCCCAATCCTGGCTGGCCTACACTGGCTTCCTATACAGTTCTGTATCAGTTTTAAGGTGATGGTTCTATCATATAAAGTCCTAGACAGGACCTCATTACATGGCCGAACACCTAGCTGGTATTGCCCATCATATTCATTCCTCCCAAGCTGGATGGCTGAGGGCCTTTACCCCAAGGGAGACCTGAAACGAGAGAACAAGGATCTGGATCTTCTCAGCGGCTGTGCTCAGCCTCTGGAATGAACTGCCAACTGAAATTCACTTGGCCTCCTCATTGGCATCTTTCAATTAACTTTTAAAAACACATCTGTTAAATCAAGCTTTTCAACATCTGCCAATTTAAGAATTTGGTGACGCTCAGTCTTTTGTTAAACTGCTGCCAGTTTTTAGCCTGTTTAATATTTGTTTAGTTTATTTAATGAATGTAATGTGTTTGATTATGTTGTTTTTATGTCTTGTGATTGTTGTAAGCCACCCAGAGTAGCCATTAGTTGTCCATTTTACCCCACTAATCTGTTGCCTGAATGGCGTTCAAACAATTTGACTATTTGAAGGAGTCATTCTAGAGCTTAGGATTGTCTGCTGTGCTAGAGCGTGCTAATGCACTTCCTGAACCATAATTCTGAACGTATTTTACTTACTCACCTTCCCATGTGATGGAAATTTTTGTTGAGCACAGTCCATACAGCCCTTTAAAACTATTTGAAAACCATTTAATCCTTTTTTCAAAAAAGTTCCAAATCCACAATCCAAGCACTGAAGCCCAAAGTACTTGAGGAAATGAATGGCTGAGGAGCGCAAGGGAAAGAGACCTAAGCAATTAAAAGGCTCTTGATCCCTCTTCAGGCTTATGGGGAAATGAACAGAAATATATGACATTGGTTAGAAAATTAAATTTTACTGTGGGGTGTTTGCTTTGGAGTGAAAAGACATTCCACTCTTTCTGCTCTTGAGATAGCTCTGTAATTACATTTTAATAATTCAAAAATACTATTATATATGAAAAATGTAATAGCTCTGTGCTGGATTATATATATTTAAATCCATGAGGGCAATGATATTGTGTGCCTTTTGTGTCTTGAAGAGAAACTAATATCCACAGAGTGCAAATGTTTGATTCTCTGTCAAACAGATTCATTCCCTCCAGTTGCAAACAGCTTCCCTATGTGAATTTATTACTGAATTACTGAAGAAATAGTCATATTATTTCCCCTGGACAGAGAACTGCTATTAGTGTGAATGGAAGCTTTCCTTCCATCTAAACAGTAACTTCATGCAGGGGAACAATTTGGGACGAGCTCAACATAAGAACAGGATATTACATATTTCTGCCTTCATGTTCTGGTTCTGATGCCCATCAGCTCCACTCCTCACTCTCTCCAGGACTGATATTTCCACCTTTAAACTAAATTTGTTGTATAGTCATTAAGTCATGTCCGGCTCTTCATGACCCCATGGACCAGAGCATGCCAGCCCTCCTGTCTTCCACTGCCTCCCAGAGTTTGGTCAAATTCATGTTGGTTGCTTCGATGACTCTGTCCAACCATCTCGTCTTCTGTCATCCCCTTCTCCTCTTGCCTTCACACTTGCCCAACATCAGCGTCTTTTCTAGGGAGTCTTCTCTTCTCATCAGATGGTCAAAGTATAGGAGCCTCAGCTTCAGAATCTATCCTTCCAGTGAGCACTCAGGGTTGATTTCCATCCGAATGGATAGGTTTGTTCTCTTTGCAGTGCAGGGGACTCTCAAGAGTCTCCTCCAGCACCAGAATTCAAAAGCATCAATTCTTCGGTGGTCAACCTTCTTTATGGTCCAGCGCTCACTTCCATACATCGCTAGTGGAAAAACCATAGCTTTGAGTATGCAGATCTTTGTTGGCAAGGTGATGTCTCTGCTTTTTAATGCATTCTAGGTTTATCGTCACTTTCCTCCCAAGAAGCAGGTATCTTTTAATTTCGTGGCTGCTGTCACCATCTGCAGTGATAATGGAGCCCAAGAAAGTAAAATATAAATAAAACTAAATAAGTAACTGTAAAAGATACCTAATTTAATCTTAAAGGCAGCAAGTTCCTAAATCTGAAAGAATTTACACTGCTAGCAAAGGTTCACAAGTGATGAGGAACGTTGCGGGAATCAAACATATGATTGATTTGCACCTTCCACATTTCATATTTGAGGCTAAAGGGAATGCCACTTGTATTTTATCATTTTTCTTCTCCTTTGTGTTTATTCACATATATTATTTATAGTCATTGTGCCTTGTGCATAATGTGTTTACATGGCTATTTATACTGCCCAGTTCATGGGAAAGTTACTTTTTTTCATCACTCCCAGAATCTCATGACCAGCATGGCCAGTGCCCATGCTAGCTGGGGATTACTGAAGCCATGGTCCGAAAAAAGTAACTTTTCTAGGTTTGGATATGGAAACCTCATGCACACTGCTTTGCTCTCTGTAAGGGTGAAAGGCAGTTTATAAATAATTTTAACAAACACATCTAGAAAAGTTTCTTCATTTTTCTTCCTCAAACTCCAAAATGGAAAGTTTGGGAAAATAATTTTTTTCGCATGGACACATCCCCCCCGTTTATATGTTTTTGTTTTGTTTAGCTGTTAATCCCTTTCCCCCTCTTCTCTGTTGTTGTATAGTTGTTTTGTAATAGTTAATAAAAAGAAAAGAAAAAGAAAGATATTACTCCTTATATAACTTATATAACTTGGCTTGTTGTATTTTGAAATCAGTTCTTCCAGAGCCCCAGTGGGGTCCACAGATGATTTGTTTTTAATAGGGTCTGATCATATACAGATAAGCTTTCTATAAAACATGGAGATTAAATACAAAATCCTTTCCCTTGGGATACAAACTATGAACTCTTATAAATATTCATTAAAGGCACCGGGTTGCTATTTGGTATGTGTACTGCCTCCAGGCAAATGTGACAGAATCAGGGGTGTTTTTGTATTTCCAGGGTAACTATGGAGTTAAGCAAGGAGCCCAGGGGTACTCATGAGGGGGAGTAGCGCCCTCCATAGATATCTTGTGCTAACTCTGCCATTGGTGGAATTTAAAATTAAAAAGATGCAGTGTGACTACAAGCAGAGAAAGGGAAACTAAAGAAGATGCTGAGTTGGTGGCCAGTGAAAAGGAGAATGTGCCTTTTACCTTCAATGTGAATCTCCCTCATCTTTTCTACTGCAAAGCCATTGATTAAATGATCAAAATCTATATTGTTACTTCTGCAATCTTCCAATATCATGGACCGTATCAGAACGGAAAAAGGAAAGGGCCAGAATGCAATCTTCCAATATCATGGACCGTATCAGAAAAGGAAAGGGCCAGAATGTCTTTACTTTCAGACCCTGGGAAGACTGGGGAAGAGGGAAAAGAGAAAGGACACAATGTGTATAAACAAGATGGGGAGGTTTATTTAACTTTTGTTTTTCAACAGAAGTAAACTGTTTTTCTTTTCTTCTTGAATCATAGATCTACTTATTGTGTCAATGAATGACAGAGGAGAGGACTGAAAAGGGAAGAGGATGAAGTGAAAGTCCAGGTGGTATGAAGAAATTGTAGACTTGCTAGATTTTTCTCTCAAGAAAGATTCAAAGGTGACCCTGCCCATTGCCCTTTTAAAGACCTTCACTCATTCCCTTCCCCATGACTGCCTTAGGAAACTAACCTACTTACTAATGAGATTGAGGCTCTCTCTTGGTGGCTGGGGAAAAAGAAAGGGAAAATAAAGCAGAACACTCAGCTCTGCAGAGTGCCAATGCCGTAACTAGAAGCCTTCTATCCTATCCGTACTTCAACCCTACCAAAACTCCATGTTCTGATGCAGTTGCTTCATTTGCTCTGGCCTTTGCATTTCCCATTCAAAGGAATCTTTTTCCCCCCTGGAGGAATGCACAAATAACAGATCCAGATCCAGAGAAGGATCAGGCTGGAGTATCTTCAAAGAAACACATGGCGAGTCATGCACCAATCTATGTGCTATTATTTGGGTACAGATCAGTTCAAGGACCTGTTCACATCCCTGCTTGGTGTATTTGTCTTGAATGATCTCCAGACTGGTAAGACAATGAAACATATAAATGTGCATGGAGGCTATTGATTTCCCAGCTCAAATACCTGGATTGGTTAGATCTTGACATTGTTTCTCCAGCGCCCACAAGAAACCTGTGGGTAATTAGGTTTTAGTAGTGCTTGATCATAGATGGTTAGCAAATTCTTCCACTAAATGTGATATATTAACTGCATCTGTGAGACCTTTACCTCTGGCTACAAAGTAAGTAGTTCATTTGTTATCCACATGGCTTCTGTCAAATCTTGTTCTCTTTCTCGTACAATGTATATTGTTATCAATGGCCATAGTTTGCATATCTGACTGCAGCTCATTGTGACTAATTCACAACATGCCAGGACACATCTTAGTTATCTGCCTAGTCATCCGCTGCCTTGTGCAACTGAAATATGCCTGACACATCGTCTAACACAATTAGCTGCAGCAAGTTATGTCAACACCAATAGGAGTCCAGCCAATTATAATTTTTTTTTAAAAAATGGCTTTGATGATGCAAAAATAATGTATAAGCAGTATGGGATGAAAGTACTGTTCTTTAACTGTGATCAATGGCAAGATCTAACTGTGAAATAGCTACCCTCAAACTTCTAAATAGGGTGCTCCATTTCAATGTAAGCACCGCCCTGAGTACTCAGCTAAATAAATACTAGAATGGAAGGAGATGAAAGATCAGTGGGGTAGAAAAAAGAATATAGTCTTGGGGAAAGACAACTGATATCATGCTGGAGTACCTTTTTCTAATTGGGCAAAGTTGGGTACATTTGCCAATGTTTAGGTAAATGACTATAGGATAACTTACCCATTTCCTTGTGACAAGATCTGATGGAGCCAGTTTCCTCTGATGGAGCATCACCTGCTGGGACATGGCTTTTCCCAATACACCATCCTTCATGTTGAAGAATTATTATTATTTATTATTTATTTAACTTACATGCCGCCCACTCTACCCAAAGGTCTCCGACTGTGTGACCTACAATGTATTTCCTTCCAGTAGAAACTTACACTTCCTCCATCAATGGAGGAAGTAGCTAAGGGCTAAACTAGACAGTACAACTGACACATTGTTAAGAGCAGAGATCTCTCAAGAAATAAAAGACTGTTTATTCTAACTCAGGGTCCCCTAATTCCTAGTCCATCACTCTGTCCACTACACTGCACCTGGAAGTCTTCAAAAGGTGATACTGGATATCCAAGCATAAAATTGGGGCAGAAAAATAACTTATTTATCTCCTTATCTGTTTCCTGTAATGTGCAATACCACCTGAAGTATTACCATTAGGGTCTCAATCCCAGTTCCCCATCCCAACCAAAGAATACCCATTGAATCAATGGAATTTTACACAGGTGTTGATTGTTCAACAGATGTTTCAGCCAGTTGGCCATGTTGGGACTATCAAATTTGTTTTTGGCCTGGGGCTACACTCCTAAATGCACCCTGTCTAATACCATCCCTTAGAACTGAACAACACATTGTTTCTATAGTACATAGATTTGAAATTAATGATAGGATCCATAAGATGACATATATATTTTTTTCCTTCTTTTTTCCCCATAAAGCAAGTATAAACTACTGATACGAAGTAGCTTCCATTTGATGTGAATTAGCTTCCATTTGATGTGAATAAGAGTCAGCCTTGGAAACACTGAGCGTTATCAAATGTTACTAGAAAATAACCAGAGTGGTAGGGAGCTGAGTAATTCCATGAGAAAAATGAAGCTGGAGAAGCAAAACAGAGTGCGAGATGTAGATTCCTTTGTTTTTATATCACCTGAAATGAGAATTTGAAAGGTGTCAGAGATGTGCACGTACAGCAAAAGACGAAAACAAAAGGAGAGAAAAGCTTATATACAATCTGCTTATACTGTATACTGATATTTATTGTTTTAAAAACATGAATACTGAATTGACATATTCCAGTACTAAAGTGCTGCTTTTGATGCTATTTGAGAAGATGGCTGTTATTATCATCATCATTCACTCACTCACTAGACAGTGAGACAGTGAATTATTATGTACCATTTCTTTAAAAGACCCTAGGAAAATACAGTGGTGCCTCGCATAATGATTTTAATTGGTTCAAAAAAAAAAACACGTTATGTGAAACATCGTTATGTGAAACACTGTTTCCCATAGGAATGCATTGGAAACCGGTTAATCCGTTCCAATAGGCACGGATTGCTGTCCTTAAGCGAAAAAAACCCATAGGAAACATCGTTAAACGATACAATATTTCCTCCATTGGAATGCATTGAAGCTGACTCAATGCATTTCAATGGCTTTGCGAAGTCAATTTTTGCAAATTTAAGTGTGTCATAAAAGGGTCAAAATGGTTTTAAATGCTTGGATTAGCTTCTGCACCCTCTAAAACGGATGCAAAAGTTAATTTGGCTTTGATCTGACTTTTCGTTAATTTATGGT